TTTTATAATGGCCGCCATAACATATACAGGGTGTCTATAAGTCTGGACCTTAAAAAGATATCAAAAATTTCTTAAAACCTTTTCTATGTGGGGGGAATCAGTATGACAACAAAAAAGACCTTCACTAAGCTTCTATTTCTTAAATTATGTTTTGTAGATAACAATTAGGTATGAAAGCTGTCTCCAATTTACTGGATTCTTAAAACAGTTGTAGCTCTTTAAATAAAAAAGATACCCATACCCATAAAAAAGTAGTGGTTCCCCCTGTATTTTTTTAGTTTTTGGCAAAACCCTTTAATCGACTTTAAATCTGGTTAAAAATCAGGACTTTCAAATACTTGTATGTGAAATTTTCATGGGAATCACCCAAAACTATTATATTTTCCACAATTCATAAATAATCACAAACAATTATTAACTTACTTAACTCGAAGGCAAATAAAAACCAAGGAATCTTCAGCGAGTCTTTACGAGCATATTAAGTCTTGTAGAATAGTTTTCCAGCGTTGATTAATATGTTATTTTGACGTGTAGCGGTGTAAGTCTATTAGCTAAAGACCCACTAATGATGTGGAAGCGTTGGCATATTAGTGTTGGTACTCTAGGACCGCGCACATGTGTATAAAGATATTTTTAGTTACATACCGCGGTATACAGGATAAACCAGAAGTAGGAAATATGAAGAAGAAAAATTTATATAAGCCAAACTATTTATACTCTCAAAAATGTCTAAATGTCCTAAAATTGTAAGAAAATTGTCTAAAATAAGTTTAAAAAAATTAATATATATATGGTCTAAATAAATTGTGGTTAAATTGTAATTAAAAACTTAAAATTTAAGTTTATAATAAAACAATATATTTCTTCACTTCTTTGTTTAAGAAGCCTTGGGGGGGGGTTAAACACATATTTTGACAGTAGCTTTTATATTAAGAGCAGTATTGCCAGATTTCTGCACCGTTTAATTGAAAATTTTTAAAAAATGTACAAACGTTTATATAATATTTTTAAATATTGCCGTCAAGAAAAACTATTTAATACTTTGGTATTTTTGTATTGAGATAAAATAAGTTTTACATTTGATATTATTTTACAAGAAAGGCACTTTATTTTATCGATTGTATGACATTTGACAATTGTCCACTAACTTAAAACTAACTTCATCCCGTGACTAAAAACCTGTTGCTTACTTCAGCCCGTGACTAAACCCACACGGAACAATTACATCCAATGGATATCCAATGGATTTCTTTTATGGATATCCAGGATATACATAGGATATCCGGGATATCCAATGGATAACCATTGGATATATAAATGTCCGACCCTCCTGGACATAGTGTGGATATCCAATGGATACCCAGTGGATATAGTATTGTATGCAATATGGTTGTAATCTGTATTCAATATGGAGATTGTATGGATATCCAATGGATAACCAATGGATATGTAAATGTCTGACCCTCCTGGACATAGTGTGGATATCCAATGGATACCCAGTGGATATAGTATTGTATGCAATATGGTTGTCATCTGTATTGGATATGGTGAATCAATGGATATTTACTTTTCAATAAATAACATTGGGTTTTAAAATAAAAGTCTTATTCTTTAATTTAAATATTTATTTTTATGAAAACATAAAATAGAACAGAAAACTACATATAACTAAAGAAGTGAAGTCTCTGGCTTGACATCACTCCTCCAGCTATCATGTGCCTTTTTATCAGCCTAATCATTTGGGGCCTATTTCACCTGTCTCCTTATGATCCCCAAAATTTGGCCAATCCATCAGCCCATTTGTTACCCTCGAGCCTATGTATAGCTTGCAAATAAAGGTACGGTATATAAATGCATGCATGTATTCACCTTTAATGTTTTACCTTCAATGCTAACCGAAAGTTTATAAATTGCACTTAAATATACCTATTTAATTTAAAATTGTATTAGTTTTAGACCAATACAATTTAAAATGATAACTATGATTAGAAAATTAATAAAATATTCACTTACCACTAGAGACCTCAAACAAATAACCACAAAACACAATAACTTGGCAATAAACTTTATGACAAACATATAACAAATAGCAATGATGGCGAATGAACCTTTACAATCTGTGGAATGAAGCAAATAAACATGAAAACCCTTTGGATGTACCTAACAATCATGGCATCATATTTAACGGACGCTACCATAGAAAAAGGACGCTTCTTTATCTTCTGTGTTCGGCAGCAGTCACTGCTGAGCAGTGTTGTCAGACGTTTAAATAATTTCAGAAAGCTCATCAAAATGGCGGTTATATTATTAAATCTTTAATACTTAATTAATTAGTATACCTAGTATACCTATTTGACATAAATGTGGTGAATAATTATTTTAAATTTATTTAATTTATTTATTAAAACTTAATAAAGTACGAAAATATATTTCGTTTAGTTATTTTGCTTATAACCGGCAACACTGAAGATTCTCAAATTCAGCGCGTGCGTAGTATTATGAAATACAATAATAAACAAAAGGGACTTTTTTAAGTAATTTTTTATTGTATTGCAGACTGTCATAGTCATATTATTAACAGAAATAATATTATTAATATATAAATATTATTATCTGGGTAAAGTGAACATTTCAAAATTAAAAATTTCGTAGCTCTTGGCAAAAAATCAATTTACCGTAAAGTTGTTTTTTTTACATATGCTAGTTTAAACCATCACAAAATCCCACATGTATACATACAAGTATATATACAAGATATCCATATCAGTTATCCACCGGATATCCAGTGGATATACATTAGATGTACAGTGGATATACTTTGGACATACATTAGTTATCCATTGGATATATATTAGAGATACTTTGTTGAAATTGGGTTAATAACGATTTAAATCATATTTATTAATCATTACATAAATTTATCCTATAAGGGGCTATTTTAACAAAGAAAAAAATATTTTTAATGTTTTTGTTTTTTTTTGAACATCCAGTATGGATATCCAGTGGATATCCAGTGGATATCCAGTGGATATCCAGTGGATATACATAAGATGTACAGTGGATATACTTTGGACATACATTAGTTATCCATTGGATATATATTAGAGATACTTTGTTGAAATTGGGTTAATAACGATTTAAATCATATTTATTAATCATTACATAAATTTATCCTATAAGGGGCTATTTTAAAAAATAAAAAAATATTTTTAATGTTTTTGTTTTTTTTTAACATCCACTATGGATATCCATTGGATATCCAGTGGATATCCAGTGGATATACATTAGATGTACAGTGGATATACTTTGGACATACATTAGTTATCCATTGGACATATATTAGAGATACTTTGTTGAAATTGGGTTAATAACGATTTAAATCATATTTATTAATCATTACATAAATTTATCCTATAAGGGGCTATTTTAAAAAAGAAAAAAATATTTTTAATGTTTTTGTTTTTTTTTTGAACATCTAGTATGGATATCCATTGGATATCCAATGGATATCGTAAAAGGCATGGATGTTATATGGACATTGGGATAGCCATTGGATATCCATTGGATAGCGTGTTCTGTGTGGGAAGCGCCATAAAGCCACAACTTGTGTATTTAAAAGGTCACTTAAGTCACTAATTAGTGTCAAGGAATCATGTACGATTTAAAGTTGGAAATAAAAAAATACCATTATGAAATTTAGATATTTTACTAATCTTGTACAAATTTTAATAAGTTAAATACTTGATTCTAAATATATATTCGGAAATATTCGGCTGTTTTCGTAGTGTCATTGCTTAATTAAAAATATATACATATATATTTCAAACTAATTTTCTGGAAGTCAAAATCAACTAGTTTAATAGGGTATTTTTGATTCACCCTGTATGAAAACCACTCACTTTCGTATGCCGAACTCGGATTTTTTCAACGTCAATATCATTTTTCATACTTAAAAGCCACATTAAAAATGCTCGTCTGCCTTGTTTTGATTTATATCGTGTTATGTTACTTTTTTTGTTGTGTGTAAAGTGAGCTTTGATTTAGTCATTATTCTTGTGCCAAAACAAATCCAAAGAGTTTAAATGATTCTTTGTCTTATGAAGGGTTTATATTTATGGCCCTTTTAGTTTAAATTATAACCGTCATTTAAATTTTTTGTTTTTTTTTAGAAAAAATTTAAAATAATTTTAACAATCGGTAATATTTGTACCCAGTTTAAAAGTAAAATTATTATACACCACCATACATTAATAAAAGTACCTACATTGAAATTACATAGAACGAGTGGAAATAAGTGTAGGTAACTATAAAATAACTGCCTAAAAGTCTTAGAACAGAACTGTCTAAAATATCACATGACTGACTAAAAATGTCATAAATCCAATATTTTTTTCTAAATTTATCCCTCGTATTGTTTGAATATTTAAATTTCAGAAAAAATATAGCTATAGTTTCACAACATTATACTAAAATCATGTCAAAACAACTAATTAGTGGGGCATTATTAACATCTGTAATTTTTTTAACAACCTTTGAAACTTAATACTAATTTATTTTGGGTGGTCCTATTTCCGAAAACCACACAGAACATTTGTGTAAGAAAATACTTTTAATTGGCGAATTTTTTATATCGAAACAATTAGCGCTAATTAGAGTCATTAATTAATTTTAAACAAGGGAAGCCCGGCAGAAATAAAATAAATTGGTTAGTGAAGTTTCCTCAAATAGTTCTCTTTTAAAGCATTTTATTTTTTTTCGTAGTTTATTATAAAGAAAAGGTAAAAATAATTAAATAGGCAATTTGGTCACCATCTCTAAAAAAATATCGTTATTTAACAGTTTTGCAATAGTAAAAATACCGATTTCTTTAATTTTGTATTAGTAGTTCGATTGTGCAACAACAGATGGCGCATTATACAGCTTTAACTAGTGCTTCATAGATGGCGCTGTTGTAGTTTAGAAAAAGTTTTCGATTTGCGCCGTTAGATGTCGTTATTTTTGACAGAAGTAACATAACGAGTGACATTTGTACTGAAAATCATCCAGCTAAACAACAAATTGGTAAAATTCTGGTTTAAAAAAATCGATGCAAAACATTGCGATGAAATGTCGTTTCGTTCGCGCGTGTTAAGTTTGGTGGAGGTAGTGTTAAGGGTGCCCCCATTGTTCGTGATCGATGAAATATTGAAAATTGGTTTGGGCCTAACCGAACTTTCTGAGCACGATTTGTCCTCTTCTCTGATAAATGAAAATGAGGAAAAGCCGCAGATCGAGATCTTGTATAACTACACGTCGGTACCAGATGACCCTGCGATATACCGATTTATCATAGTTGCTCTAGTCAGGTTGCTCTTCAGTGCTATAGGTTAGTATCCATGTAATATAAAAGTATACACGTATATCAAAAACAACATGTTGAATTTTCTTGAGAATGTTCACATTTTCAATCTTTAAAAGTGTTAGGTGTGTAACTTAAAATACTGGTGAATATAAATTTAACTGCAACCCTTTTAACCTATATTTTTTAGTCTGTCAACTTAAAATAGGAAAAATCTATTAAAAATGACAATTTAAGCTAGTACTGTTGTAAAATTGTTAACTTTGGCACTATCTTATGAATGTCAACCTAAACCGAATATAAGTTTATAACTGTCAAGTATGTCAATATAACTGTCTTAAGAATGTCAATGTAAGCTAGATTTTAGACCCCTGATATAACTGTCTTAAAATGACAACTTAAACTGGATGTAATAAGATTATAAGCTAGATAACTTTGTTTTAAGATTGTCGACATGATTAAGATAGTATTGTCTTACGAATGTCAACTTGACCTAGATTAACTGTCTTAAGAATGTTAACTTAAGTTATAATATATAACTCTTAAAATTGTCAACTTAACCTGGATATAACTGTCAATTGTCAACTTGACCTAGATATATCTTTTTATGAATGTCAACTTAAGCTGGATATAAATTTCTAGATGTGAACTGCTTACGGCATCATAATGTCAAAAAAATACTATTTTAATTTAATAATATTTATTTCCCTTAATTTACATATCATATCGCATTTAAAGCAATTTACAACAGTCACCATGTCAAATGCAAGTCAAATGTGAAAGGTTTTTTTTAATGAATTAACTTATAGAAAATTTGTCAAAAATGATTGATACCAAGTTTTTTATGTATTTTAGGTAAATAATCATTTTATAAAATGTTAAATAAATTGATAAATTTATTTATACCTTATCATGTCAGGTTGAAAAATATTTACAAGGTCCAGTTGATAATAAACATAATATTATTATTGGTTAAAAACAGGATATATCCAATATCTAACCCCTTTATTTTGTTAGGTAGGTATGTATTTTTTTGCAAAAATTCTAAATTTAAAAAATATATTCTAAAAACTATTTCAACCATACCAACGGTTAAAAAAAATGTATACCTACCTACTATGTAATAGTAGGTATATTTTGTAACAAATAAAAATATAGGTATCTATTCAAAATGTATTTATACATTTCCAGCCTTGAAATTAAATGGTATTTTAGTTACCTACTGACTTAAAATTATCAAAATTAAAAAAAATCTATTTTTTATCAAAAACATTTACCTACTTAGTAAAGTACATGTACTCGGTACATGTATACATTATATATTTCAACCATTACTAGCATTTATTTTTCCCTTTGTGTTTGCAACTGACGTGCTATTTAAATGAAATTTGAATTTTAATGTATAATTTAATTTAAATTTTTGATTTAAAATAGTTTACTTGACATAGTCTTATGCTCACAACCGACTACAACTTACACCAAACAAAAAAAGTAAATGAAATCCTAAATTATTATGTTTATTTGTTGTGTTGAACTTACCACGTCGAAAATGTTATAAAGTGTCTAAAATTTTTCTTTTAAACTAAATCCATACTGTAAATAAAATTTAAAAAAATTAAATATTAAATTAAAATTAGGGGCATTTTACATTTCCTAATTCCAATAAAGGTTTAGAACATATTTAAGACTTTTAAACCATTTTTCTAATCCCACCTTTAAAATGCCCATTATTGTACATGTTTCCATGACACAAAGTGACCTTTTAAATACACAGTTGTCAAATGTCATAAAATCGTTAAAATAAAGTGTCTTTCTTGTAAAATAATAATAAATTTTTGTTATTATCTCAAAACAAAAGTATTAAATAGTTTCTTGATGGCAACGTTTGTACTGACCTTTTGATTTTGCCTTATAGTGCAATTAATTAGATTTAACTGATAAAGCGTTAAAAGTTTTGCGTACAGTGGCTATAAAATAGTTATTTGTTTTACAAGTGTTGAAAAGCGACTTTTTCATGAGTTTTTAAGTTGCCCACGAGGCCGTTAGGCCGAGTGTGCATTAACCGAGCTTGAAGAAAGCTTTTCTCACAAGTATAACACAATGTTTTTTCTGCGACCCTTTTATTTTTTATTATTTTTAAATACAAAACAATATAACCTAAAAACTTTTTTGACAGCTGAATGTCAAACGATGCTTTCCGGTTCTTTTCACACAGACCTGTCACTTTTCACACAGAAATGTCACTTTACATTCGTGTTTTGCCTTGCCAATGAAAAGATTCATTTTCTAAGCAACGATGCCATCATGAAAAGTGACTTTTACATAGTGGTCGTAGAAAAAATATTGAAAGTCGCTTTTCAACACTTGTAAAACAATTAACTATTTTCTTTTACTGTGAAAAACGGCTTCTATATCGATTGTTAGTCTATTTTCATGGGATAAATTTTGATTTACACACAAAAATTTCAGATTTTAACGGGAATTTCCGAATCTTTAATACTTTGTGATAATATTTTTCAATTATAGTAATAAAAAATCAAAGAATACAATATTTTCTTAACACAATTATATTTTGAAATTATTTTAATATTTTAAAGTATCAATAATTCTTAAGTAATTAAAATAATAACGGGCATTGTTAATGGTGAAAATTACGTTAAAAATGTTTATTGGAATGGTTACTTTAATAAATAAATAAATAAAGTTTTTATTGCATATTAAGTAGGTACATATTAGGGGTGTCAATCCCGGGATCCCGAAATCCCGGGGTCCCGGGATCCCGTAAAAAATCCGATCCCGAAAATCCCGGGATTAAAAGTCCCAATCCCGGGATCTTAGTAATAAGTTACAAAGAATAAAATATACTTTTTTTTAAGCGTATGACATTTTTCATATTATAATACTCATAAGCATATATATAAACACTTAATTTTTTTACTCAGTTATTATACACCGCCGTACAATAATGAAAATACATTGAAATTACATAGCAAGAGTGGTTCTATCTATAGCATAAAATCAGCAAAGAAAATGTAAAATTACAGGTCACTGTAGAATAAATTTATGTACATAACCTATAATATAACATATTTCAAACGTCAAACCTGAAAAAATGTCACAAACTTGATAATTTCAATGTAAGTTACAGCCCCAATTGGAACTCACCAAGGCCCGATTGATAAAAGAAATGAAATTATTTGTTAATGGGGGTAAACGTGGGTACAATATGCCTACGAATTCTTGAAAACCATTCTTCCGACTAGTGTGAAGTCCGAAAGATATCGTTGGTTAGTTTGTTTGTTGTTTTATTTTAAATTGGTTTTAAAATTAATGATATATATTTTTTCGGGATTGATCCCGGGATTAGTTACCTTTGGTCCCGAAAGGCCCGGGATTGGAAAATGGGCTCGGGATTGACACCCCTAGTACATATAGAACAATAAAATACAAAATATACAAAAGGCCATCGACCGGGGTCCTTCAGCCTGTGGTTACTTTATTTTCGTAGAGATGTCGCTTCATACAAATATTTAATTTAAAGCATTTGTTAGATAATATTAAGTGTTTGTCGTGGAAATAATATAGTATGCGACTAGTTTATAAACTATTCTAGGCTCTAAGTACTTGCTCGTGCCTAAATTAAATTCGTGACTAAAATGGCGTTTATCAAACTTGAAACATAATAAACTATTATATATAAAAATAGCATAATATTATTATGTATCAAATTTTATAAACGCCGTTTTAGTTACGAGTTGTATTAGGCACGAACGAATCTTGCGAGCGAGTGTTTAATTAAAACGAGTGTCATAGCTTGTCAATGTGTATTTAAAAGACCACTTAGCATAGTTTTGTATTTAGTTTTTATTTTGGATTATAAGTAACTTGATTTTATACAAAAGAATAAGTAAATAAATAATACATACCTATCTCTTGAAACGTTTTTATGGGAAACCCATTTTTTTAAAAAGCGTTTGTCTCACAGCGCCACCTTAATAGTGAATAGTGGAGTCACTTTTGTCGTTTGTCACTTGTTGCATTACATACTGTTTTATAATACCTAATCTTTTTGTTATATTTTGTTTTAAAAAATCGTGTTTATGGGAAACCCATTTTTTAAAAAGCTTTTGTCTCACAGCGCCACCTTAATAGTCAATAGTGGAGTCACTTTTGTTGTTTGTCACTTGTTGCATTATATACTGTTTTATATACCTAATCCTTTTGTTATATTTTGTTTTAAAAAATCGTGTAGGTATTTTTATTATTTTATTATTATTTTTTTAGTTTTTTATTGCATCCAAGGGTTATTAATTTTTATGACATTTACAGTTTTACTAAAAGAATAAGAAAGTACACGATGATACTATAAAATAGATTTTATATTAAAAATTTCAAATTTGTATTAATTTTTTTTAACTTTTCTTTTAGGCTGTGCCGGCGGAATATGCCTCTTCATCTTGAGCACCAAGCACCTAATGGTGGTCTACATGTACTTGATGTCGATCATAGTCGCCTACATGTCCTACTACATGAACCTCTCGGTAGCCGTGACGGTCATACGGTACGCGGAAAACATTTCCGAGCCGGTCGGCTACATAGAACTGGCAACGACGCACGGCATGCAAGTATTCCAGACGAACGTCGTGCAGGGAATCCTGGCGTTCGTCTTCATGTACGTGCATCTGGGTTCGAGGAACCACGTGATCGAGAAGATGCTGCTGATGTCTTTCGTTTTCCCGTCGCCGTTGTGCTTGCTGCCTCTGCCCGCGCAAATCAAGGGGGCCATACCGTTGATTTTCGCCTTGGTGCCGGGTTACTTGATCAACGTGGTTTTGTTCACGTCGGTGATAAGCGTCGTGCAAAGCATATACAACGGGTATCTGCAAGTACGAAACTACGTCAGTAATTTTGGCATATCGGCTTTGGTCGAATCGGAATGGGTTAGACTGAACGTTCCCGAGGTACTCAGAACTTTCTGGATACTAAGAGTTTTAGAGCACGCCGGTATATTCTTCATATCAGGTTATTGGACCATCGAGGATGGTAATAGTCCTTCTTTTAGGCTCTTGAAATACCTCATGGTTACAGGTTGCGACACCCTAACAGCTGTATTAGGTATAACTAGCATTGTCTCGTACATCTGCAACTTGATTGGCAAGTTCTTCCAATGGATACTACTAATGGAAGACGAAAATGATAAAAACTTCGGAACTGTATCTGCAATTGTATTCTATATACTCGCTTTACAAACTGGGTTGACCGGGTTGGAACCTGATGTACGGTTTGTGAGACTATGTCGGAATTTTTGCTTGCTCTTCACAGCCCTTCTACATTTCACCCATAACGTTGTGAACCCCCTACTAATGTCTCTAAGTGCTTCTCATAACCCCTCCCTAAGAAGGCACGTACATGCTCTATTAGTATGTTCTATTTTGGTTGTTTTACCACTCATTTTAATGTACTTTTTATGGTCAACACAAGAACCTTCAACATGGTTGCTAGCTGTAACAGCCTTCAGCATTGAGGTGATTGTTAAAGTCTTCGTAACACTCTCCATATATGGTCTATTCCTTTTGGATGCAGTGAGAGAGACCTTTTGGGAGAAGCTCGACGACTACATCTACTACATCAGAGCGTTCGGTAACACTGTCGAGTTCTGTTTCGGAATCTTCCTGTTCTTCAACGGCGCCTGGATACTGCTCTTCGAATCCGGCAGCGCGATCAGAGCTATAATGATGTGCATCCACGCCTACTTCAACATTTGGTGCGATGCTAAGGCAGGCTGGTCCGTTTTCATGAAACGCAGAACTGCCGTTAACAAAATCGAAAGCCTGCCCGAGGCGGATAGGGAACAGCTCCGACAATTGGAAGACGTGTGCGCGATTTGCTACCAGGAGATGCAAAGTGCTAAAATAACGAAGTGCAAACATTTTTTCCACGGGGTGTGCCTCAGGAAATGGCTGTACGTGCAGGATAGGTGTCCTTTGTGTCACGAGATTTTGCACAGTGTGGATGCGACTGATAAAAGGGATAATAGTAATATTGAACAGTTAAACCCTGTTGTTGTCGAGCAAAACGACGAAAGGTGACACTTTTTTTAGTAAATTAATAATTAATTAATTGTGATTTAGGGTAAAGACGGACAGTCAAGTCGGAAATCATGTAAATTTTGGAACAAATTTTATTGACTTTGGAATGTTTTGCAATACAAAAACTGGACAAGAGAAATCATTCTCTAACATAACATGAATTCGGTTTTTATTTGTAGGTAGGCATTTTATAATTGATTGTAAGAAAAAAGTTTATTTTTATATTTATTGTACATATTTTTTGTGATGTTATATTTCGGTATGTATATTTCAAAGTCAATATACAGTGTAGTTAACAAACATTGTTATTTAGTTTAACAGGTGTAAGATTTATAATAATATTATAAAAATTAAATAAAAAGGAAATACAGGTTTTTGGATTTTGGAGAAAAATATAATGTAAATATTATGTTTGTTTGCTACACTACAAGGAAGTCATTAATAAAACGAAAATTATACATAGTGATGCAAAATTTGTTGAACTTTCTTTGTAAATAGATCATATTTACTGAAAAATAGTACCTTAGAGTCTTAATTCCTATAAGAATACAAAAAAAATTAGTTTCCGTTGTGGAAATTTTTCTCTGAAAAATAAGTCTTACTTTCTCTTAAAAAGTCTGAATAATACTTATTAAGTCGGAAAAAGTCAGATTAAGACTTATTAAGTCGGAAAAAGTCAGACTAATAGCAAGATTCTCAAGAGTCTTCTAGAAGTGTTAATAAGACTTTTCGCAGAGAAATGGTAGGAACCTAACTATAGCGATTAAAATAAATATCCGGAATTATTCAGAGAGGTTGTATTTGATTATTATAAAATAAAACACAATGAAAAGTATTTATTAACATTTTGCTGGGTGGTAATAAGCCAAGTTTATTGCATAATTACATATGAGGAGTGATTTTTCAAAAGGTCGTATTTCCATTTGCAACAATTTTTCAAAAAAATGACTATAACTTGTATAGGTTAGGGCAATATAGATTATTTAAAAAAAAAATCTGATGAATATTTAATAATACTTCAGACCTGCTGTCATATTTCGCCGTTAATATATGAGGAGCAGCGTGCAAAACCGGCTATATCCACTTTAATAAAATGTTGGGAAAATGGCAAAACTCTCGGTTTCCTGGCCTTTGCAGATAAAAGAAAAAGCAAACTTGAGTTTTGTGGGCTTTGTGGAACTTGATTTATAAGACATACTTTCGTTTTCAAAAACTTTATATTAAGGCCAAAATTTCAAAAAATGTTTTGTACATAGCCGGTTTTGCTCAAAAACCGAATAAAATGTTAAAAAAAACCTTTATTATTCAAAAATATTAACAAAATAAATTTAGTGCAAACATGAAAAAACAGAACAAATTTTAGTAGTAGTATCGACATATCCAAGCCACATGCTCATCATCATTATTATTTATGGGATATAGCCGGGTTTGCTATAAAAACGTGGATTTGGCCGGTTTTGCTCCTAAAGCTACCTTTTAAATGTGATTTTAACATAGATATAGTCGGATTTAAACAGAATTATCTTGGTTGTCGATAGAAATGAACCCAAAGATGCGAAATCAAAAAAAAAACAAAAACTGAATAAAATGGATTTAGCCGGTTTTGCAGGGATGCTCCTCATATGCCTTTTAACCATACCTTTGGGATTTTGTCAAAAAATTACATTCAAGTAAAAATGGAAATAAGGCCTTTTGAAAAATCACTCCTCAAAAATAATAACATGTAAGGTGTAATAATTATAACAATTATAATTTTTTACATACGATGCGCTGGACTTGCTTTTATTGTTGCCACTGTACTGTTTTATTTTAATAGTTTTTTTTTGTCACACAATATCGATTTTCTCAGCTGACCAATTAGAGCACATCTGATCTGTCATGTGATGGCATCTTCCCGCGTTTTCAAGATAGCTCTCCTGTCACTACTTACCAAGTGTTGCCGTTTGTGGGTATTTTACTCGGAAATCGGGTATTTTCGTCATGTTTGCGGGTAGAATTTTGAAGGGTAAAATCGGATATTTTGCGAATTTCGATCAAAATACTAACTGAAGATATTTTCAGTAAATAATATTGTACGTTTACTAAAAATGCATAATTATTTTATTCTATATAGGATATTCTGTTACATTTTTATTTACTTATATAAAAATTTTAAATTAAATTAATTATTTTTTTAAACAGGGCGAATGCGCTGGTAAATTTAAAATATAACTAGTACCTAGTTTGTAATTTTTGGTCGGGAACTTTTATGAAATTCATCCGGCAACACTGTATAAAACATGAACCAATGAAAGCAGCAATGAGTTTTATAATCTGTGTATGAGTTCGACTGTCGACCATATTATGCCTATGCGTTTGGAAGAATTGTTAAGTCGAAAAAAGTCTAGAATAAGTCTTAGTAAGTCAGACTAATAGCAAGATTTGGGAGTCTTCTGGAAGAGTTAATAAGACTTAATAAGACTTTTAGCAGAGAAATGGTAGGTACCGGAAAAAGTCAGAATAAGACCTATTAAGTCTTATTCTCAGAGAAAAATTTCCACAAGAGTTGTTACAAGTTGTATATAATTTTGTATTCAAAAGAAAGGGTCTTATAATGCATGAAAAATAATGACCAGACTTTAAAATATCATAATATAATAGGCTTGTACATATGTGTAAAAACCTCCACCAAAAATTGACATCACTATGTATAACAGATTGTACAAAGTGCTTGGTTTATAATTTATTTATGTTTTGTTTATATACAAATGTTTTTATTGTAGTTTCCAAACAGCACCCGGTAAACTATACATAGTTAATTTTGTTTAAGCGCACTTTAATTCAATTAAAAATAAGATCCTTATAGTTTGAAAGTAAGTAATAGTTCGAGACTCTACAATTTGTCAAAGTTCTGACTACAGTCATACGGTCAGCTCTTTCGAAATTTGCTTTTACAATTTCATAGTAACGACCATCGCTGAAACAAACAAAGATGTATATAAAATAAATATATTGTTTACATCAAGCTTTTTCATTACCTTAGGCTCAAGCATTTCAACTTTAAACATTTTACCCTCAAGGTATCTATGGCTTTTTGACTTTTATCTGAGAACCTCAAGTTTTCTGGGTCCCATCTTAGCTCAATTCTTTCGAGAATCGAACAATTTCTCGCAATACTGTCCATGAGTTGGTCCACTAAGATATTAACGCCCAACCTTTCTTGAGTACCAAGCACCAATATTCTAAAAAACATTAAATATATACTCCTGAAAATGTACGCTTAAAAATAAATGTTATTTAACCTTGCATTAGTTAATATGGGCAAAACCGATTGCCACAGCTGATCGGTAATATGGGTCATTCCAGATAACCCCAGACCCCACAATTGATGTCCATGTTTACACAAAAACTTATAAATAGCATCCTCAGATAGATTATCAGAACTGTCCAAATCCAAAGCAACCTAAAATGTTGTCTATAAGAAAAAATACTAACATTAAAAACTGCTACCTTACCAAGTGCCTGGAGTTTCCAGAATCCATCCAAGCTTTTAGTACTTGGTCATTAAAACCATTTAATTGACCCGCACTTAAGAATCTTAGGCCGGGAATTCTGGAAAGCATGTCCGATAGAGCTTCTGTGCTTAGATCTGTAGCTGTAATGTCAAATTCTTCAAGTGATGATTTTTCCCATTCTACTTGCATAAAGTATTCACTCTGCAGATCTAAAATTGGGTTTGTTAGTTTTATTTTTTTCTAAAATTGGTGTTATACTTGTTCCATTCATGAGTAGGCATTTGAGCCTTCTACTTCTTTGCATTAAGGTTTTTAATGTTGATCCTGATACTTTGGAGCAATAGTTGACAGCTAAACACTCCAGCTAGAAGATAAAATAGTTAAGTATATTGACGCAAACAGAGTTTGGCAGTGTTACCTGAATACAGTTGGAGCTGAAAGCATCAATATGGCTGTCATCAACAAAATTAATACCATACAAATTAATAACTCTCAAATTTGGTGTTGCTGATTTTAGTTTGTGTATGTTGATAACTTCATAAATTTCCTCTTCCTCCTCCTCAACTTTCTCGTATGTTCCTATGAGGTGTATAATCTCCAAACCATTAATAAAGTTGTAGATTTTCCTCATAAAACCTTCCATGAAGATTACTTCTGATAAACAAATACATAAGTACCTGAAAACACCTCTTAGCTATGTTCCATTTAAAAGTGATTATATTTACCTTAATTTAGTTGGGAAAGCTTGTAGCTCACTGAAATCATGCAGCTGCATGGCAGTACTAAAATCAAGCAACATGTGTGTCAAGTTGGGGCACTTATTGGCCAACTCGTGTAAAACAGTATGTGTTATCAACTCTATAGGAAGCTCAATGTATCTCAATGATGGTCCAAATCGTATACTTATAAGCGCCAGTAGGGATTCTAATGATCCAACGTGCAATCCCGATATTTCTGGTCGTAAGGATACGTTTTTCCACAGCTTAGTGTCATAAGCAACTAAGCGCCATCTTTTGCAGACTCTCGCCAAGCGGGAGATCTCTTTGTGGGTTAGATAGCTGAATACGTGAAGAAGGACTTTGTCAGGCAGTTTTTCTATGGTCTGGAAGAGAAACAAATGGTTTAGTTCCTGATAATAAATGTTAAGAAGGTTTGGGGTGAAGCTTATTAACTCATACCGTTCCTGCAAATGGACTTCTTGCAGCAGTTCCATCTGTCAGATACACTTGAGACGCTTCCAGAGCCAATTGGCCCCAAATATCGGGATTTACATCCATTTGAAAACCTTTTTACACACTTAATTTTCTCGCAAATTCACTGTTTTTTCGCACGAAAAAATTATCAAGAATTTTGTCAAAATACTGGCACTTTTAAGCTAAGTAGCATGATATTTTTATGTAACGGTGTATACCTAGCCGTCTAAATGGGTCCAAATATTCTAAAAATACTTCGAATTGCTTGCTTTGCTGTCTCGTGTGTTTATATCTAGAGGCGCTTGGTGAGATTGTTTAGTTTTTTTGAATGTTTAATATTTCGCGCCAAAATATTTAGGAATAAAACCAAGCTACGAGTCTTCTGCAACAGATACCTATTTAAAAAAATACTTAATCTTGAGTTAGGTACCTAAATATGTTTTTAATTTGTGTGTAATTTAAAAAAAAATACATAAAAAATAGTAAAAAATCACACAATATAGTACACCCTTTCCCGAAAATAGTGCACTATAACACGTGGTAAAAATACATAAATATTGTATATAAAACAATTAAAACAAGTATACTATAGTAATTGCCTCCAAGGTTTTTAATTTTATTTTAGCATTGAAAACAATTATTTGATGACATTTTAAAATAAGCTTAAAATTTCTTAATAATAATAAAGTTGTAATGATTATTATGTTTAATTTTTTTTATTTTTTGATAAAATTGAATGGTGTTGTACAATAGGAAACAAACCCTCACTTTTGCCAAACTTTAGACAAACAGAGTCCGAAAATGTATGTGGTTCCTTCATTATTTAGTGTTATTGTAGGTTCAACTTTTTAATTTTATTTTTTTACTCCCACCTTTAAAACGACTATTATCGTACATGTTTCCATGACATTAAGTGACCTTTTAAATACACATTGACAAGTTATGGCTTTATGGCGTTTTAGTCACGGGCTGAAGTTAGTTGACAGTTGTCACGTTTATAAACCTTTTTAGACACTAATTAATTTAAACACTTGCTCGCAAGCTCGCTCCTGCCTAGTTAAAATTCGTGACTGTAATGGCGTTTATCAAACTTTATACATAATTCTATTCTAGGTCAGTAAACTTTTAATTTCTACATTAAATTTTGTTGATTAGTTCATAATTGACTAAATGAGGAGTGATTTTTCAAAAGGCCATATATTAACGACGAAATATGACAGCAGGTCTGAAGTATTATTAAATATTCATCAGATTTTTTTTTTAAATAATCTCTTTTGCCCTAACCTATACAGGTTATAGTCATTTTTTTGAAAAATTGTTGCAAATGGAAATACGACCTTTTGAAAAATCACTCCTCAAATGTTAAACCCCCAATACTCAAAATGTTCAAACAAAACAGGGACCCGGACCGAAACCGAAAAAACCGAAAACCGGAACGGAACCGGTTTTTTTTTCCAAACCGAAACCCGAACCGGAACCGTTTTCGCTTTTGATAAAATCTGTTGGACCGGAACCGAAACCTTTATTTGCTTTCATTCTAATAACATTATATAACATATTGGGTTATAGATTAAAATTACGTAAAACAAATAACCTCACTGGAACCGCTTAAAACCGAAAAGAACCGAACCGTTATAACTCCACGAAACCGAAACCGGAATCGGAACCATTAAAACGAAAATAGGGTGAACCAAAACCGTACCGGAACCGATATTTCATTTCGGTCCGGGTCCCTGAAACAAAATAGTGGAAAAAAGCAATCTTGGATTTTTCAACCCCCCTGCTATACGCATAACCCTTCCCCGGCAAAATTTCTAGGCACGCCACTGGTTTTAATTAAACCCCCGACCCCTCCATGGGCACTCCAGTGAATGAAATTGGCAATACTCCCTACAGAAAGTTGGCGCAACTACGCAGCTTGGATCTTTGTTGAGGTTTAGAGGTTGAGCTTAAGTATCTTTCCGAATTTTTATTGCTTTAAAATATTTTCAAAAAGTGGTACATGCTGATATTACATTAATCTAATTTTTTTTAATTTTGAGGGTTTGTTTCCTGTTGCATAACAATCAGCAAAAGCAATTTTTTATAATGCTGTCAATTTTTTTTATTTTTTTAGCTTGGTCAGTCATGACTTTAGTGTTCCATTTTCAAGACTCCCTGTAGACCTAGATAACGTTTTTACTTAATTGTTTGTTAAAATATGTCTATATCCAATTTACTTTCATTGTTAAAATTTCATAAATGTAGATTTTATAATTGTATCCTCGTGGCATATATTAACAAAATTAAATTAACTTAAATTTGGCATAAAATTTATTCGACAATTAATAATTTTGTCAAAACAAAGAAACGAATTTTGGCAGCAATTATTTTTATACTTAAGTATTTAAACTCTACGAAAATATTTGCCCAGACATTGTTTTCAAAATTATTTCATTTTCTATGAAATCTAAAAGTGAAGTTTAAATATATGCGACTTAACTTAAATTTAATTACGTATATAGAACCTTCCTGTCTTATTGCCATTTTATTTTAATTTAGAATTAGTCAACATTAAAAGTTGGTTGCTTGCGTATGTTTTTTGAATAACGTAAAGTTAAAGTAACCATTAAAATATTTGGCCAATAGCCAAACTGTTAAAATTAAATTAAAAAATTAATGTATAATGCCAAGCTTTAAAATCGAACATAAAAGTTTTTAATGATTTAATAGTTTTTCTCTCAAATATCAACAATTTATTACAATGGATCTTCCATAGATGTATACATGCACTGGTATACAGAAATAAAATCTATTTGGCACGAAGTTCTGAGTATGTTATGTTGGTTTTCACAAATAATTGTTCCTGTAGGAAAGTAAAAATTTGTGACCGGAAAACAGCCTTTTAACTCTTACTTACTTGGGTTGCAGTATTATGTATACATAATACTAGGCAAAACTGTAATTAATAAATCCCCACTACAAATGTACCTACCACCCATGCTAGTCAAGATACAAATACTTATATGCTAGTCTTCTCTGGTCTTATTTACTTTATGGCGCAGTCGGTGGGATATTTTGTAGTGGGGGTTTATTAATTACAGTGTTGCCTAGTACTATATACTAGAAATTATTGAAAAAGGGGGCAGTCCAATGGTGCAGCAACTTCGGATTCTTATTCTCTCCAAAGACATAGAAAATCAAGCTTTTCGAATTTTACAGGCAATGATTTTCGTTAATGTCCCCGAGAATTATAAAAAAACAGCGCAATGCAATATCGCAACGGTTTCGACTTCTCCTTACTCTATTAAGTTATAGAAACTGGAGTCTCTCTAATACTGTTGTAGTCATTATTTCTGAGAGCATAAAAAAGGGTATAATTTAATATTACAAGAAGTTTTGATCTTTTGATGGATGCAAGTATTTTGAATATTCTCATTTCTGCATATGATTTTGTTGAAAACAGTTCCTTTCTTTGGTTCCTTTGTCTGATTTTTATTTACCGTAACAACTCAGGTATGTAAAGCACAGAGGATATGATGTAAAGTATATTTATGTATTATATAAAGTACCTATATTTGTATTTAAAATTTCAGAGGTTATGTTGAAAAAACGATTGATATGCTATTAAACTTTAATAATTTAGTAATGAGGTCTGTTTGTAGACTCTGCACTATCTCCACTGGTATATATTCGTAGATGCTACAATGCACTGGTGTGTACTTTGTGTGTATATGGTCCATTGACAGTTATTCCTTTTTATGAATAATTTTTCCTTCTTTTTATTTAATTATAATTCTGAAACCAAGAAGGAATCTAAAATGTCCAAGAATACTTTGTGCCTAAAAACTTATTATGCTTGCTATACTCGACGCAATCATTGGCCATTTAAAAGAAATATTTTCGTTAGAAAGTCAAGAAATGGCCAATGCTATTGACAATTTCAAAAAATTTATTATTATTATTATTATAAAAAACACCATAAAACATCGAGATGGCTTAGTAATGTTTTATTTTTAAAGAAGAGATCAATATTGAAACTTATGTACATTATTACAAACTTTTTAAAATGACACTTTTATTGCCAATAAGCTCAGCATGTTGTAAGAGATTAGGTGACAATTAGGCATATTATACACACCCATGCATTTCACTAAATATTCTATAATCATATTTGGCACCCATCAAAATTAATGACAATTTATGTAGGTACAATGTATAACAGGTATAAATAAGATTTTATGTTCAATAAAATATGCCATGCTTAATTATTGGACCGCTTTCGTTAATTCATAGATTTATTTTGTACACTGTTGACTCAATTTATAAACATTGTCAAATATGTGTCCCATAGGAATCTAATCTATGTTGCCAAACTATATAAATATAAGTGATTTACTTTTAAGTGGTGTAATTTATAATAAAATACCTATTTGTCATCTTAAAAAATGTCTTGTACTTCGGTAATTTATGTAAAAAATAATTTGAGAATCAATAAAAATCGTTAAAATAATATTAATTTATCTATTTTGCGTTCATAATGACTTCATTTTAACACCGCTTTCGGTGCTGAGAGACTTTATATAATATATATATCCCACCGAAAATTTTGATTTTATAGGTTGGCTATACTTTAAATAGCATAATATTTTGCATATTGGTTATAATATTTTTATGATTTATCTAGACTTTTCTGGCAATAAATTTTGTTTTAAGAAAATCCATTTTTTCTTCTTTAACATTAACAGCCGCTTATAGTAAATAAGTAAATTAAGGACGCCATGCCGAATCGATTTTGACATTAACCCTTCAAACCAATGACTGTGATACCAACTATCTAAAGTAAAATTCGACCAAATTAAATTTAAGGTATAAAATTATTTTTTTTATAGAATGTTTGCAAAATTGATAAAATAGCATAAAGAACTCATGTCATAAGACCTTTTGTCGCACTCGTCCATTACAAAACTCGCTTCTTCGTCCCTCGATTTATAAATTGTCCTCGTGCGACAAAATGACGTCTTATGACATTAGTCCTTTAATATACTATTTTATAATAAACTTAAATCGAAATAATAAACTTAAATCGAAATATTTCTCCTAACATATATTATTTTATAGGTTTTATAGTTGGGCATTAAATTCGTTTTCATACTACAAGCAGTGGCATCACTACGTGTGTAATAATATCTCCTTTTAGAGAATAAAGTACGCCAATGATATTAAAAAAATGTTTACAAAAAAGTCCTCTTGAGGTTCTTTTTGGACCACAATCTATATTCAAAAGTTAATTTTTTTTTAATTTATTTAATATATCGCGTCTTGCTTCGTCACCTCAAATAAATGAGTCTTTACATATTGATCTACCATTGTCGTCCCAAAATGGAATTGTTCAGTTCTATAGAAGCTCTTCTTAAAGTTTATTTTATTTTTATTAAATCATCCAAGCAATTAGCCTCTCTAATATCATAATATTTTGATGTTTGGATAATTTTATAAAAAAATCATTGATTTAAAAGTGCTGCTAATTTTGTATCATCTTACATAATAAAAAACTTACTGTTCTTTTGGTTCTTCTGACGCTACTATTTAAATCATCCCTCACTACAGCAGCCCCTATATCAAAATTACCCCACGCATCCATTGTCACGACGAATTTCACTAATAAACCAACATTCTTCACAATTTTTTAAAACAAAAATCACTTAATGTATCCACCACAAACGAAGATAATGACTGCAAGGCTTAGCACTGTACACTTTCGTCTTTGTGAAAAAGAAACTAGTAAAAGTAAATGAACGAAAATAGTCTGAGAGCGTGAAGCTCGACTCCTCCACGCTGTGTACCAAAAGCACTAATGTTATAACTATTTATTGGCAAGTACACGAGACAGCCGCCTTTAAAAATTCTTAATTAACTCACCCAATCTCTGTTTAACGAGACCAAACTCCGTCTAAATTTGAACCAAGTTCCAGTGTTAAGTGATGTTCAGGAATCTTTCAACTCATATGTTCGACAAAAATCGCAGTTTAATGTTTTTGGATGTTTTCCTTCGTTTTAAACAAAACAAAGATTAAGTTTTTATTTCATTCATTTTGGTGTCAAAACGTGACGGTTAAAATACAATTTTTGTAATTTTACTGGTCTGATTCAGTTTGGGTAATTTTAGATTAGTTTTAAGGACATTTTTGACAAGATGGAACCATAGTGCAGTATAGGCAAGGGGCAATGACTTCGTTCTTTGGGGCCATTCATATGAACTCTTATAAAAGTAAAACAGTTTTTAAGATATGCTCATTTTTCCATATCCACTTTAATAACTTTTGACGATATTTTTGGATTAAGCGTACAATTTTACATAGGATACAAATTGATGTCGACTGCAGTTATTACTGGCTGTTGACTAATTCATTTTAAGAGAGAACCAGGGGTTATTAATCTATAGAGAGAACTGTTAAAAAGTTGTTTTGTTCCAAAAATGGCTTAATTGTCTTACGACTTTTAAATTGTCCTAAATTTTTCTTATATCTTCTCTAAAGCTCTTTAGATATGTCCTAAAATCCCTTTAAAAAGTCTATAGATGTCCTAAAAATGTGTTTACTATTTTTTCTGCTGTCTCTGCCAAAAAGTAGTGGCGTAGTAAATGTAAAAAAAGGCGAAGAATGGCAGAGAAAATTTCCAAAAGTCTACTATACCAAAACTGTATTTAATGCCCTAATACTATAGTATACCTTAGGCCTTCTTGGCCATTTACCTTTGACAAATCAGTTTTTATTAACTTTATAAAGTTCCTACGCAAACAGCATATCTGGTCCATTTCTTTTACATTGGGACGTCCAAGGATTCCCTTCTGATCCTTGTTTGGGTATGGAATTTAGTTTATTTTATATGTGGTTGGCTGTAAAAGGCGCGTGAATCATTGCGGGGGCGCTGAAGAAATAGGGGCGCCTAAAGGTTGACCTGGAGATAATTTTTTTACGCATCCTTTTGCGTCTTAATTTATTTGGACCAAGATCATCCGTAGATCTAAATTCCCTTTTCTTCTATAGGGTGCAACAAGTATCCTTCTTTGTATGGGTATATTTATTATTTAAAGAGCTAAAGGGTCACTTAAATTTAAAAAAAGTTGCATAATTACAAGTTTATTAAAATGGCAATTAAAATTAGAAAAAATTCTGCGGTTCTCAAATACAGTAAAAAATATTTGTTAATTTTAACCAAAAATTAACCAGATTTTATGTTAATCCAGGCCCAGATAACTTTATGTTAAGTTATTAACTGTAATCTGTTAACTAGGTAATTAAGTATATTTGTAATTATACAGCCATTTTGTAGTTTTAATAAAAAAATGCTATGTCAATGTCATATATATTTTTTGGAAATTGGGAATAATAAGAAATGTTGCTTTACTTATTAATTTCCTAAACAAAAAAATTAACACATACCTACATAAATCAACACAAAAATAACATACACACAATTAACACGAACACACCATTCTTATAAAGAAACTTGGTGCAACATAATTATTAGTAGTATGGCCCCTGCTGTAGGGGAGAGCGGGGAGGGTCTGCACACTGGTAGACAATGGACACTTTCAAATTTCGCCGTTCCAGTAAAAATTTCAGGTTGGTAGTACTATTACAGATCGTCAAGTTGGTAATGTCTCAAAATAGTGGTAGTGAAATAAGTTTTAGCTGTAGAAGAGGTATGTGGAAAAGTTTATTTTCGAGTTTTTTTATTCCGTTGGTATATTTTGAAATTATTAACATTTTTTTGTTCCACATCATGTAGGGAGAGTTTGGACATACTGTCTAGAGTCTTCCTCTATTGTCCAAACATCGTCCCGTTCGTTAGAAGACTATTGCAAAAATTAAACCGAGGATATACAGTCAAATTCCTTAAAAGGCAGTTTTTATCATACAGATTTCAAGAAACAGATGAAGCCTTGGTGGATTTTAAGGACGTGGTATTGGTTTCCCCCCCCCACTGACGGAGTTCGATTCCATAACATGATTTACTTTAATTTTGATTTGTCGCAATTTAGTATTGTATAAGTTTTGCACCGAATTTTTCAATAACATTCCTAAATTTATAATATTTTTATAAATAAATTATAAATTATAATAATTTATATATAATCTCCCCGTATGTTGGGTGACTTTGTACAGATGAAAATTCACAAAAATTCGTAAAAAACCCATCTTACGGTTTGAAGTGCACATATTTATCTCTTTATGTTTTCAGAAGAGAAAGAATAGTGTTATTACCTAAAACTTTAAAATTAGAAATAATTACATTTTTAAGAGACCCAGGCAAAAAAATCTAAAAATTGTCCAATGTCTCCCCACTCTCTTCTACTAAAACACTTACTGATGTATTTCGTAACTTTAACTCACTTCACTGTATCCCCTAATTTCGGTTCAAAAACCAGTGATGACATCTTTTTTGAATACTTCGCACACTCGTTAAATAGGTACCTATAAGGAATCCGAATAACAATAATAACAGATTTCTGGTAATATTTTATTAACACTCAGGACAGTTGTTACGAACACGTTACGAATTAGAATAAAGTAAGCAGAAACATAAGTTGCAGACCCTGAAGTCAGTTGAACTTGTTGATGCGTATTGTTGTGGGAAATGTTTTAATTGGCCGCCTGAAATCACGTGTACTTTTTCAACATATATATTTATCTACATTTTCATCGAATGTGTTATTTTTTTCGCCCACTAGATTTGAATCCAACGATGTATCAAAATACATAAGTTATGGCGGCCATTAAAAAGAAATTGGATGATGTTTGCATATAAAACTTAATTTTTTTTAAATAACCAGGAATAGCTAAGTTATAAAAAAATTTGGTTTTGAAAGGTTTTTTTTTAATATTTAAGTATTAAGATTATAGACGAGATTATCATCATCCTACATTATAATAGATGAATACCCTACCTCAATAATCTTTTAATGTAAATTTTATACATATTTTGAAAGGTTTATATCAAGAGGAACAAGAGGTAGACATTTTATGATTTCTTTTGAAAAACTTATACCTGGAATCAAAATTTTTAATCCACTGGCTATTTAAAATTGCTCACCGGGTACATACGTATTCGTATATGCAAACAATGCGCAAGCGTATTTAATTTAAAAACCATATGTTCAATAAATTCCACCAACGGAGATATTAATTCAGTCACAAAACTTTTGAGAATATTTAGATCTTTTTTGAATGTATCAAAACCGAAAATATTTCCTCATCTTCTAGATAGAAAAATATTAATCCCTTTATTCTCTTAAATCTTGAACAGATGCACCTCGGTGGAATGCATTCGTCGGAGCCAGCGCTCGGCCGAACTCGGCAGTGGGGGAACAAACCCGAATGAATACACGCGAGAGACTCCATGATATTGCGAGACGTAGTGCGGTGCAAACAATGTTACAGTTGAGAAACGCTTAATTCAATACTTTTTCACCAAACCGAAAACAATCAATTTGCTCGGCTCAATCTCAGAGTTAGATTAGTCGGCAAATAGTTAACAACAAGTTGTTCAAGATGATGTCCAGTGTGCTGATATGTGCTACGGAAATAAACAATACTCTACCAGATAGTTCCTACTTGAAAGAAATTATGATGGATTTTGTGCCCCCGTGGGTTCTAACGATGGGCTACATCCCTTGGATATGGGCGGTTTTCGGATCGCTGTTAGTTGGACTCAGCGGTGTTTTGCCCTTAATTGTCATCCCCATCGACGAGTCAGATGATCTCATCAAAGGAGGTTAGGTTCAGATTTTATTATCAAAACAATCGCATCATCCAAAGGCATCTTGCTTTGTTTTCGACATACAGTTTACATAAGATAAACAAAAGTATTTCAGATTCCGACTACCTACTATAATATCCAATAATTGTTGTTCTTTGTCTAATTTAACTTTAATTAATAAAAAAGAAAGTATCGAGAATAATGCATGGATATCATAGCAACAAAATTCAATATGTATGACTCCCACGCATTATATCAAACAAAGAAAATTTGAGGTTATGTGTTTGTTTACATCTTTAGAATATTAACATCATGCCCAGCGGCAAAATTATAATATTCAAAACTACTTATTATTATTCCATTAACACAATGGTGTAATAATAATAATAGTGTAATAACATGTCTTGCTTAATGATCCGTCTGACGTAAACCAACAAGAAACCCAATTAATGCACCTATGTATATAAAAAATTGACGTTTTTACACAGTGAAGAATATAATAATATCAAGGTCACATGATTAAAGGTTGTGACCTTTTTAATAATAGCGCGCAATTTTGTTTTAATTTATCTTTTGTGTGCGCTTTATGTATCCAACCCAACACAAAAGAGTTAATTTAAAAGTTGTTATCCATTCAAGAGGTAGGTACGATGGTAATCAGTATTTTTCATTCTTCATTTGCTCTCGTTACACCTGAAATTCTTGAAGAAAATTCTTCCTTAATGGCAACACTGACCAAGGGACTGTTTTAAATATAGAACAAGACATACTGCTACAGAACTGGTTTTAAAGTTGGTATTGCATATACAGTATCTTCAGAAGATTTAAATGGGTTAATCCTCAAGCATAAAAAACTGTTGGTTGAAGATTAAAGCAAACTTTGTTTGTTACCTCGAGATTTCTAGAAAATGTTGTTAAAGAAAAAACGAAGGTTGAATATATTTATAATTGGTCGTAAGTGTATTATAACATCATTCTTTTAATGTATACATATATGTATTGGACATTCTGTGATTAATCTCGTCCTTTCCTTCAATGACATTAACTTATTTATTCCTTAAATAATTGTTTTTTATTCTTTAAGGTTCATGGTAAATACAGGTTGATGAACTGACTCTATTTTTTGTAATAAGGCCAGATAGTTTTGGAAATAGTTTACTACATTTGATAAATTTTAATATTTTTTGACACACTTCATGGAGCCATCCATAAATCTCGTGACGCAAAAGTGGTCCCTTGTGACAGAATGTGACAATTTTATTTAAATTACTTTGTCACATTTAAAAAACCTCCTGTTCTTTAAACTCTCCGTCCCCCTTCCAGCGTCAAGAGATTCATGGACGAAAATACATTTGTCAACCATGTTAACCCTAGTTGCCTTATACTCGTTTCAAGATATTAAAAATACAGCGTTGTCTTTTAAATTTTAACATCTAATAACTCCATTTTTCCGACACACTGTATACTAAATGCGTGGGATGTAACATTTGGATTTATATTACATTTTGACGTTTAATATATGCTAAGCAAATTCTTAGTTAAAAATAGAATGTGAAGCCTCGTCAAAATGTCTGATTATAATTATTGGGAATTATTACAATGTAATGTTATAACTTACATGACAGTTAAAAAAATTGCATATAAATATTTAGGGGCAGTTTTTATAGCATAAAGATTTTTTTACTAAGGTGGACATTTAATATCTTATGTTGTTATTTTTAGAACATCGATAACGTAACAACAAAGAACTTAATGTTATTGAACTTGTTTGTTGACGAAAAATGTCATAAAATAATCTTAAAAATAATAAATTTATAGAATTTACATAAATTATAATAAAACTGAAAAAACTAAACCTTGGGAAATAATGACAAAGGCAAAATTGCAAATCAAAATTTATTTTGAGTAATTTATTGTTTATTTTTTTGTTGCACAAATGTTTTCATATTTGCGTTTTAAAATGTCTACAAACAATAAACGTTGGGCAAGTTAAATTAAGAATAACTAAAATTAAATTTATTACTCAGCAGTCAATAATTAATTTATAATAACGCCCAACAAGTTTTTTTTTAAATTAATTAATAACTGATTTAAATTAATATTCTATTATATTAATTTAATATATTAGAACCAAACATATTTAAATAGTATATTATGTAATAAGTTTAATAAACGCCATTTTAGTTACGAGTTTTATTAGGCACAAGCGAAGCTTGCGAGCGAGTGTTTAATAAAAAAGATAGTCTAGAGAGGTTTTTAAAACAAGTTGCATACTATACTTTATCTACGATGAACATGTTCATTGTAGATAATGCACAAAATAAAAATGCACAAAATAGTATAGTATATAGTATAGTATATTATGTAATAAGTTTAATAAACGCCATTTTAGTTACGAGTTTTATTAGGCACAAGCGAAGCTTGCAAGCAAGTGTTTAATAAAAACGAGTGTCTAGATAAGTTTATAAAACGAGTTGGATACTATACTTTACAGTGGCGGCTCGTGGCAGTAAAATTTGTGAGTTCTGCCAGTGGGGTTTAAAAAAATGTGGCGCAGTTGGCATTTAATTAAATGGTACCTACAGATAATTAATTAAATCATAATTAAATCATACACCACATTCATTCTTACAAAAGAATACAACAACAAACACAAAACACAAAAATATACAGAATTAACAGTCTTCTAGTTAAAATAACAAACGTGAACGCGAAGCGAAAAACAAACGACCGTGAAGTAGGAACTGTATGTTGGTGCAGCTCCGATTTGGCTTAAATTTCACTATCTTAACCCAGGGCCAAGAGCGGCGCGGGGCAAAATTACGGTATTGAAATGGGAACCAGAACTCGAAAGTGGCCCAGCTTTGTTGTATTGTAAGCGTTAAGCGTTAGAGACCTTTACCGGTCGTTTGGATGACTGTAGTGGCCAAGTACGGAGTTATGTTATATGTCATTTCACACCTTTCTTAAAAGCATTCTCTAGTTAGGCCCTTTACTTTAGGATATTAGTTTTAAGTATCTTTAAGTATTCATAGATGCATGAGAATTTTATGTATTTTTTAGTTTTCAAGACCATTCTAAAAATTGTGAGCAACGAACGTAGTCGTTCACTGAATTTTTGTTTCACCTAATATATAAATACTTAAGTAAAGTATATAGTTTTTTTTGCTAAATTTATCAACGAATAACTTAATTGGCGCAGTCGGTAGGATTTAGTATGGATAGGTGTCTCATCTGTAGTTTTAATTTCATGTTTGATTTTGTTGGTAAATGAAAGTCTGTCAGTCGGGTGGTAGAGAACATCGCAATAAGAAGAAAGTAATTTAAATAATTCTTTTTCTTCTTCGTTATTGAGGTGATCACTTCGAATTAAGGACATATTAAGTTCTTGTAGCGTTTCCATGGGATTTAATCTTTCCGGGATTATTAATTCGGCGTTATAACATTCGTAATTATTTGCCTGCGTAACAAAAGGTTTTAAAAAGTCTAAGGAGAAGCGTTTTAATTTCTTTACAAATACGGCTTAATTTAAAAATTCAATCCGATCAAACATTAGCTCAAAATGCTCGAGATGCCCTTATGGCTCAAAATGAATCCATTGCTGTAACTGTAATAATAGCCAATTCTTGCCCAATGTTACAACAATTATTAATTGTTCAAAATCCAAATACCTTGGATGAAGCTAGCACTACTGTTAACAATTTTGTGTTGCGACAACAACACATTAACCAAATTCGTTCAACTGCCGGTACTAGTAATCATAAAACACAATCGAACACCAAATCAAAACCACAACATTTTCAACGACCAGTACCTGAACAAAATAACTTTTTACCTACCAATTATCATAAAAACCCTACACCTCAATACAACACGTTTTTGCGAACAAATCAACAAACTTGGCAAAGCGAAAATCAGGTGACATCTTCGTTTCAACCTAACTATAAACCACATTTTCCATCTCAACCAATTTCCATCCGGGCCCAACCTGTAAAAAATAATTTCCCAACTAATAGACAAGTGTTTGGGTCACAAAAAAATGTATTTCATCCGAAAAATGCACCACGACCCACCAATTTACCTGAACCAATGTCGACCTCATCACGACTACCTTCCAGACAAATCAGTCAGAGATATAACTATTTTAACCCTTCAGGCCCCCGCAATTTTGTGTCTGAAGAACTAACAAATATTAATTTTGAAGATGAAGTAGACCAAACAGGTGAATATGAAAAATACTCAGAACAAAATCTCGAAAATTATGAGAACCACGATAATGAATATCAAATACCACCACATAACGACGATATAAATTTTCAAGTAACCGAGCCTTCGACAGACACTACATAGACCTAAACAATTTAATACCCAATTCTCTGCCTTTCATACAACTTACCGAACCACCCATAAAACTTCTTATCGACACGGGGTGCCATTGTTCAATGTTACGCCCCTATATTGCCGAAACATATTTTCCCCATACAATTATAAAAGATGATACCCCAATAAAAACATGTGCGGGGACAAGACAAGCTCAGTTTAAAGCAAAAATACCGCTTATCCACAACATTCCGCTTGACTTTGTATTATTTTCATTTCATGACTACTTTGATGGTATTCTCGGTATCCGAGACTTAAAGAATTTAGGACTATACTTAGACTTTCAAAACCAACAGTTAATCGGTAAAAACTTAACACTCCCATTCCTTTATCGCGATGACTTTTCCTTCCAAAAGCTCGAAATACCTCCCAATTCAACGATCATAAAAAATGTCAAAGTAAACTTACCTGACCAGCAATATATTATACCAGCCATACGAGTAGGATCACTAAACATCCCTTCAGGATTAATTGAAGTAAAAAATGGGTCTACTAATATAGAATTCGTTAATAACTATAATCAAACAAAATTAAAACGCTTAATCCAGCAGAAATAAACTACAGCACAATTGAAAAAGAATTGCTAGCAGTAGTGTGGGCTGTTAAATATTTTCGGCCCTACCTGTATGGGACAA